AATTCCATCCATTTACCAGCGAATGATAACATTTCGTTCTTCTTCATGGCTGCATAAAATTCCATTGTGTATAGATACCACATTTTCTTAATCTTTTCGTCAGTAGTGGGGCATCTTGGCTGTTTCCATAACTTGTCTAGCAATAATTTCTAAGAAATTATTTGATTTAATGAAGATACAGAAGAGTCATGAATAACAACATTTGAAGTACTTTCTTTCTAATAATATGCATTATATATTGATGTACATGCATGAAGAAGCTAAAAGGAAAGTAATATAATGATTTATTTTTGGATATGGGGTGATAATGAGAAGTAGAGGGATGGCACATAGGAGCGGGAGAGAAGTCTTTCACTGTAAAAACTTTACAAAACATGAATATTACTTGAAAAATGTTATAAAGGTATGTTGAATATCAGACGTGATACACAACTGTAATCCCAGCATTTAGAGGGTTAAGGCAGGAGAATACAAGTTCGAGGACATCCTGGACTTTATATTGATACCTTGTCTCAAAACAATCTGTTAAAGTTGTGGTGTAAATGCAGAAGAAATATATGTTCATATAAGTTGTTGTTTCTGCTTTTTAATATTTTTATATTTTCAAAATTATTTCAGTATGTCTGGGTCAGTGATTCTTATCCCCTCTTCCCCAACAAAGTCTTTAAGAATCTGACAAAAGAGAATGAGTTCGTATATATAAACTGTTTCACATAGTATTTCAAACAGAGTGGATGCCTTGATCTAGGTCAAATTTTGTTAATTATGTATATTTTTTTTGCCATACTGGGATTTGAACTCATGGTCTACACCTTGAGCCACTCCACCAGCCCCCTTTTTTGTGAGTTTAATGGGTTTTTTCAAGATAGGTTCTCTCGAACTATTTGGCGTGGGCTTCCAATTTGATCCTCTTGCTCTCTGCCTCCTGAGTAGCTAGGATTAACAAGCCTGAGCCACTGGCGCTCAGCTTAATTATAGCTTCTATATGACAAGTATATTTTCAAACTCTTACAGAGGCACAATGGTGAGTTTGTATTCAAAATAATCCAGCGGAGGGTACAAGGGACACTACAAAAAGAAGTCAGCAAATTTGGCTTCTAATCCCAGCACTGCCATTAGCAAGCTGTATGAATTTGCATGAAACTTTTATTTCTCTTGTTTTTGGTCTGTTCCATGTTAGACTATTGTAGTGGAATGTGCATAGATTTTAGTGTCAAGTAGGCTTGAAGTGGTTTTGAATTCGGTTTGCTACGTGCTGTCCTTGTAACATTGAACAAGTTCTCTGAATTTTATTTTCTCTGTAAAAGTAAGGGAAATGATACCAGATTCTTTGGGCTTTTAGCATTAAATGAAAAATGGCATTTGAAGAACCTTTTAATAGTTGTAGGGACATAAGCAAATATTAGTCATCTCATGTTGGAAAATTAGTTAAACTAGAATTGGATGCTAAGTTATCTTTTATTGATAAGATTTTGGTTTTTTATGACAGTCTCACTATGTAGTACCAACTGGCCTTGGATTTGGACTCCTGCTTTAACCTCTAACTGATGGGATTATAGGTGTGTGCTGCCACATGCAGCACTACCAATAAGATTTTGTTTTATTTTAAAAAGTTCTTGTTACAACAGAATAATTTGGAAATACTGTCATAGCAGCATTAACCTGAGATCAAGTGGGAGAGCAAGGAAATATTAAACTGATATTAATGATGGTCTTTGCGTGCTTCCCATATTCCAGAGTGCTGAACACATTTGTTCTAAATACTTGCTACAATTTTAAGATTCATAAGTGGATAATACGGGTTAGAACTCCAGGCCTTCTACTTGAGCCACACCCAGAGACCTTTTGCTTTTAGTTTTTCTTTTTTTTTTTAAATAGGGCTTCTCACTTTTAGTGAGATCTTCCTACCTTTGCCTCCTGAGTAGCTGAAATTACAGGTATGCCCCACCATACTAGCAACATGTGAGGGTTTTTTGTTTGTTTGTTTTTGCAGTGCTGTGGATTGAAGTCAGGGCTTTATATAGCTAGAATATCTTTGGACAGGGCAGTACTGGGTTTTGAACTAAGGGTTTCATACTTGCTGGCATGAGCTCTAACACTTAAGCCATACCTCCAACCCGCAGTAGAATTTCTTAATGTGGGGTCCTTACGTACACTACAAATTTATGAATAGGTTTTCACAGGTCTGTGAACTCTGAAATTTTTGCTGTGCCTGAATTGAAGTGAGAATCTATAGCTTTCATTGTGAACAAAATAAATTTGGTTTCTGCTTTTCTGGAGATTATATTCTAATAGGAGGAGGCAGACTTTGAGCAAACAAAATTCGAGAAGTAAATACAACTTAAAGATGACAGAAATGTTTTACAAAATACAAGTACAGAAACATAAATATAAATATGCTAGTGTATTATGTCTTTTAAGCACTCACTCTTTTAGTTTTTTATTTTGGAGCATGCTACAAACCCATGTGCTGCTGTATCATTTGAGTCTATAATTAAATAGTTATGAGATTTTTTTTTTAGTGTCCAGATAGCAGTCTCAGTATATTAAGTAGTAATAATTTAACATAAAGCTACTTTTAACTGCACATTATTTGTAAGTGAAACTTATGAGAGCCATTTGAACACACATGCAGATAACTAACTTAAATTTAAGAACTGAATATGAAATTAATTTGGGAACGGTCTTCTAACCCATTAACTTTTTTTGTTATTGTTCATTTTGATGTGCAGGGTTTTTTCCCCCCCTTCAGTGCTGGGGTTTGAACTCAGGGTCTTGAGCTTGCTAGGTATGCACCCTATCACTTGAGCCACTCCTCCAACCCTCATTTTTCAGCTTTATTACATAGTAGCACACTTTATAAAAATCCAAACAGATGCTTTTTTAAGTAGACTGTTGACTATATGAAGGCAGATACTGTGATTATGCTGTTTCACCATTTCCCCCATAATTCAGAATCTGGCGCAGAATAACATTTGAAAATATTTGTTGAATGAATGGATAAAGCTTTTAGCATACCTAATGGAAACTTTTCTCTCATCAGTAATAGGCTTGTGTTCAAGATTGAGTTATTTCAATACAACATGTGTTAAACGTGAAACTTAAAGATTAAGATGTCAGTCTGGCAGAGTCACTTCAAGAGTAAGAGCATCTGCCTAGCAAGAGTGAGGCCCTGAGTCCAAACCCCAGTGCTGCCAAAAAAAAAAAAAGATTAAGATTTATAGATAATTCCTGTTTAATTACAGCTGAAATGAGATTTGTTTTCTTCTTTGTAAGGATACTAGTGAGTGAGCATAATCAAATCTTTAATAATTTTGTAATAGTATAGTTATGTTGTCATTGTTATGACAAAATAACTTAAGGGAAAAGATTTATTTTAGCTTACAGTTTCAGAGGTTTCAATTCATAGGATGATGGCAGTGAGATCATGTGGCAGAAGCTACTCACCTCATTGTGCACAGGAAGCAGGGAGAGAGGAAGGTACTAGGGACCAGGTGTAACCTTGAAAGGCATGCTCCCAAGACCAATCTCTTAAAGTTTCCACAATCTCCCAAAAGAGTTTACCATCTGGAGACCAATGTCAACATATGAGCCTAGGGGGAGGGGGGGAACACTGCATATTTAAAGGTAACATCATGATATTTTATTCTGGCATCAGTTTTAAGTACAGTTATTAGTAAATGTAGTAGGTATCATTTAAGATGTTCTAGAGGACTGTTCTATATGGCTCAGAGGTAGAGCATCTATATTCTATATTGTACAAAGTCCTGGTTGTAATTTTCAGCATCATCACCCCCACCCCAGCGTATGTGCTACAGGTTTCAAGTTGGGTTTTCTATTTAAAGAAAACTTGTGATACACATAAGTGCTGAGTTTTATGATTTGGCTTTTATTTCCCACCAAAAATAGAGGACAGATGGTGAAATTTAACAATAGGTTCTGGTTAATAGTAATTTTCTGACTCATAAATTTGGGATTAAGAAAAAAATCTTTTGAAGTAGTTATTTAAACTGTGTTCTAACAAAACACTGTGTACCAAGCAAATAATAGGCTATATGAAGATCTTAAGAAAGATATTTCTGGGCACCAGTGGCTTACACCAGCCCAGGGCAAATAGTTCAAGAGACCCTATCTCCAAAATAACCAGAATAAAATGGATTGTAGGTATGTCTCAAGTGGTAGGGCACCTGCTTTGTAAGTGTGAAACACTGAGTTCAAACTCCAGTCCCACAAAAGAGAGGGAGACTGAGACCAGTATGTAAAACTTTTAGGAATATCTAAAACAAACTTTTTTTTAATCTCATTGCCCCTACTAAATTTGATGATAAAGTATTTTAAGGCAGTTTTTATTTTAGTGTATAGTAAGGTTTTAGTGTATAGTAAGGTAAAAAATACCTGTTTATTGATGGGTAACATACATGA